GGCCAAATTACAGCAAAATACAAATAGTCCAAAAATGATATATACAAAAGAGGGGGGACAGTAGAGTCCTTCCTTTATGTAGGGGTGGAATCCTGGGACAGTGTATACCATGCTTACACAGGTGTCTACATTTAGTTTCCCTCATGATTGAGTTTTAATGCATCTTGTTACTGTAACAGTGAGTCCTTACACTCTCTACTAACTATAAGGATTACTTGCACAACTATTTATTGTAATGCATAACATAATTAACACAAAAGACCGGTAATACGGCTGGTTAACCCATTATGATGGAAAGTGAGACAAATCTGCAGGGACCAACTGCACTGCAAATGGAGACTCACAAAATAAAATACGTTCATTCCTTTTCTTAGGCTACAGAGGGATTTCCAAACAGTTTTGAAAACCCTTGTTTGTTTTAACGGTTACTTTCAGCAGTTTACCCCAAGGGAACCCCTACACCACCCAACCTTGGTTTGATTGCCATTATAGTGCAGTAAAACAAAGTATTTATGGCAACTCCTTACAATTTACTTTATTTGGCACTGTGACCCTGCTATTGGCCTGTGTAGATGCTGTATTGTCATTGACATCTTGGCTTTGGTCAACAGTAACATTTACACATTTGCTCTATATTGTGTGCTTACAGACTAAAGCAACATTTCAAGATTCAGTCCTTAAAAGCCTATACAAAACGTGCAAGGTGATCAGTTTGGGGTAAGTCAATATTGCTAATTTTTCTTTCACAAAGTAATGAAGATGTCTCATTAGGAGATGGTTAAATATGGGTAGAATTTTTACCTGCTATATATATAGTATTTGTACAGTTTTCTACAATGATGCAATACATAAATTAACATGCTTTGGGAACTAATATGAAGGATTCAAGGAACATCTTATAATGCCACAGCTAATAGACACATCCTTGCTATAATCTCAGTCTTACTTCTATGCATAAAAAACACATATTCCACAGCACATTCCAGAAAAATAGAAATGATTTCAAAAAGATTAAAATGTTGATTCACATACAGTGGCCCAATCATAGGTTTTCTTAAGTGTGCTATCTTTCTAAAAATAACTAATGAGGTAAATATCGCCTGACCCTGCTGGATCTAGCAGCCATGTCATATCTGTGATACCTTCTGACAGTCCAAGATAACCATTCGGCAAGGGATTGGATTAACTGAACAATTGTTACTGGTCCCCCAAAGATAAGCCAATGCCAATAATGTCATTGCACACTTTTCCTGCCTTCTTCCCTTTCATAACACTTAAACTGCGATGTTTAATTTGCAAATATGGATGCATTTTACCCGCTTGATCGTCTTCCCCCATAAGGAATCTAAAGCTTTTTTTAAAAGTTTTGAATAGGATAGTAGTGAAGGTTTTTTGTGCAGTCTGTGGACTTACATCTTAATAAAATGTTATATGCAGAAATGTATTCTGGAATAAATATTTTTTTTATGGAGGTCATCAGTGGTTTAGAAAATAAAAATAACCCCTTTAAATAGCTTGTGGTAGTTAGTCACATTGAACTTAGCTTGTTCTGTATTGTTAAAGACATGTTTCTACTCATCCAAATAGCTCGCTCAGTAACTGCTTTGAATTGCTTTTATTGACAATTAACAATAAATTCATTTTTAGATGAACCACTTTTACCAAACTGGCCCCCCAAAAATATTTGATAGTATGATTTAAAATGCTGCATAATTTACGAGGTATATTCTGTTTTTCAGGTCTGGGACTGTTGAACCAACACTAGTGATCCTATTCCAAGTTCCACCTAGTGAAATTAAAGACTTTTCCTCCGCTCCTATCCAAAATATATTTAGCAAAATTCTTACATTTGCGTCGAGGTTGGGCTTTACCATTGATATGGGCTCTGTGAAATTGTCAGGCAAGTATATGTCCACTTTCACCTCTTCTTTCTTTGATTTGGTATTTTATTTTCATTGGAATCCTTTGTATACACATACCCCTCACACTTTAGAACTAGAGAACGAGGGGCATTTCAGGGAAGATATGATATGCAGCATTAACAGAGCACCACAGCAGCATTTGGTCTTGCTAAGTTTGGTGTGGTTTAAAGGGATGTTGTCAAATTATAAAAAAACATATTTGTGCATGACTGCAATATGCAAAAGGGGGCCTTGGGAAATCATCAAAGAGTTTGTAAAAAAAAAATCTATTTTTCAGTATGTATGGCATCATGTCTGTATACGGTTTTCTTAAGTAAAACTTTTTTTGTGAAACTTTTACAAAGTTTCTACCTGGAGGCTTCACTAGTAACAGCACTTCCTGTTTCAGGCCAACAGTGCTAAGCTGCTGCCTTGCAATTAGCAGCAGTGTTGTTGGGCTTCAAGTTGGCAATCAGGCTGCCTAACAGTCTTTTATGTAAATTGTTTTAAACCTGTCCGAGAACCTCCTGAACCTCCTGAAGAAGCAAATGATCTAATGTTGCGAAACACGTTGAGGTGCTGTTGCGCTCACCTTTGGGCCTTATCAGCTTTCTAATGTCACACAATTATGCAAACTGTATGTATACAGACTGATGATAATGAACAACAAATGAATGGACACATTCATATAACCTAAAGACAAATTATTATTATTTTTTTATATGTAACTCCAGTATATATGAAAGCTGATCTGGCTGTCATGATGATCAAAACAACTTCTGTACTTTTTCAGCCACTGACCAGAAACAAGATTGACTTTGCTCTGGCTTTGCTTTCTGCATGCATGTCCTTAGCTCTGTGACTTAGAAATTACTGAAGCCTTAAACAGCCAGGGAAGATGCTTTTTTGGAGGCATTTTTGCTAGCCTTTATATTTCCCCTCAGTACAGGCTTCTTTTGATCTAATACAGTGTCACATGCCTTTGGTGGAACATAAGTTTCCCAGTCTTCAAAAGCAATAAAAACTCCTTTACGTTCTGTTGCACTAGTTTTTATTAATTACACTACCGCAGCATGGTCCCCTTGCCTTTATTATCCAAAATGTTTAATAAAGAATTTACAAAAAAAAGCCTTAGAGAGTTATGAATTTAGGCCCATGAGCCCTAGCATTTCTTACTATTCCACAAATCAAGACTTGAATGTACTTACTGTATGTGCATGACCTAAAAGATTATTTTAAGTTATAATAAATATATTGTTTTGTTTGTTTTGTAGAAATCCCAGCCACTGAGGGAGATAATCTACTTTATGGCGGTAAGATCTTGATACCTGTTGTAGTTGATACACTTAAAGCTTACCATATACAGAATAAAACACCATCTATGTTTATAATATGACTGAGGAGGTAGCCAGTGAAGGATGCAAAGTGTCATTATGCCCTTATAGCACAAAGATTCTAAGTTCAGTCTTCACCAGATACAAGGAGTTTGCTCCCCGTGTGTTTGCTCGAGTTGTAATCCAAAGAATTAGAGCATGTTCACTTTAAAAAGTAAATTTTTACTTAGCCTAACCTGTTGCTGCCAGACATACGCATGCCTGTGGCTGACATCACTGTTCTAAGCATGCCCAACTATTGGGCAACACCAATCTTTGGATTGGTACAAATATCCTTTTTGTCACATGCGCTACAAGTATGAAATGTTTGCCTTGAGTTTCATTTTCTTGATCTTTAGAAAACCCCAAAACATGCTTTTATGTTTCCATAGGAAAGGGGATACCTTTTTATGTGTTTACCTTGGGTGCCCTCATTTGTGATCATAGCAATGTAGGAACTATCATAATAAAGAACAAATACAATGTAAAATGTTTACCGCATCTTGAATAATTGTTAGTCCTAAATTTCCCCTGTAATCTTTTTCTTATGAGTTTTAAGTGTATATTTACTTTGTTGTGCTACATATTGAACTATTTCAATATCCTTGGGTTTGCAATGAAATTATGACATCTTTAATGACCGTTTTAATGATTTAAATGACATATTTAATGACAGTTATGTGATTTGCAACATTTTAGTGAATGGCTTTTTGTGTTGGTGAAACTTATCCTATCCAGGCTGATTATACAGTCTATAGTTGAATGCATAAAATAAATCTATAATTCGTTGACCTGCAGTGCCCCCATGTGGATAGTTAATGTAATACAGTATTGTAAGAAAACAAGAAAACACACAATCATACAATTTAGAAAATCCTCAGATTGCAAAATAATAATGAAAAAATGCTAGAAAATATTTAAAATAAGGTTTTGGAAACTGTTGGCTATATACATATAT